TTTGTGGGGGGAGGGGAATGCAATTCAGGCATACCTTAATTTGTTTTTGAACCATGCCCAGCAGTGCTTAGGGCTTACTCCTGATTCTGTGCTCAAGGGTGCTTGGTGTACCACACAGGGTTCCAGGGAACAAATCCCAATCAGCTCTGTACAAGGCACACACCCTACCCATTCTACCATCTCTCTGGTCTCCATGTATTTAAAAGTTGATTTCAATAACAACCTCACTCAGAAATATCATAGTAGCATTGCGCAATGAACCCATAGTAGAACCTTAGAAATTCTTTGTGAGATCACCCATAGCACCCTGAATGTGCTTTCCAATCTCAATAAGCTCTCAGCATGGATTTTCTGAAAACATTTGCTTTCCATGCTAAGTGACTTAAAACCATTGAATTCCTAGAAAACTCATAAAACAGTTATATGCCTGGACAGAAAATTTATCTAAGTAAGAATATTGATGGAAATAGAATGCCTCTTCTCTGGCTCAGTTGGATCACTGAGCATTGACTCTTTGAATATTAATACCCATTTGCATGTGTAGAGAATCTTTAAAGGCTCAAAGTTGTTCTTCTGTTGCCTACTACTTAAAGGATTCTATTTTATGCAGATTTTTTTTCTTTTTATTTGGGTCTCACCCGGCGATGCACAGGGGTTACTCATGGCTCATGCACTCAGGAATTACTCCTTGCGGTGCTCAGGTGATCATATGGAATGCTGGGAATCGAACCCAGGTCAGCTGTATGCAAGGCAAATGCCCTACCTGCTGTGCTATCACCCCAGCCCCTATGCTGATATTTTTGAGGACACTGATGATCATTTGTAGAGTTGATATTATGGTATAAATAACTCAGTGAAAAAGACAAGAATCCTATCCTTGAAAGTTTACCATTGCAAAGTATATTTAAAGCTCTCCAGAGTTGCTATCCTGGGGTCCAAGGAGAGAGTACAGGAGGTAAGGTGCTTATCTTGCATGTGACTGTCTCCAATCTCCAGCAGAATAGCCTTTGTGCACTACTGGGTATGCCTACCCTCCCAAAAGAAATTAAACAAGTTGCTGGACTGAAAAAAAAAAGTATCTGCATCTATCATTGAGTGGGACCAGAGAATTCATGCCTAACATGTATGAGACCCTGAGTTTGAAAAGAGAAAAGCTAAAGAAATTTATTTTTGGAGGCATCTGAAAGAGCTGAGAGCTGAGAATCAGATGCACGGGAAGCACTGGGAGCTCTTCCCGGTATTGCAAATGCACCATGTGTGAATGAGTCGCCAAGACTTCCTGTTGATCCTGTGGATTTTTGTATAAAATGGAAAATATTTTACTACGCTGTGGCTCAAGTTGGAATGGTTGGGGGTTAGAGTATCTAAATGTTCACTATAGATAAGGTAACAGTAGATAAATCAATCATGAGTTAAATATTATCTCTCTTTTATTCTTTAGTAAAGATGAAATTGTGTGTTTTCTGAGATTTCTTCCAGTTCTAAATGCAATTTTTCTGAATTTCGAACCCTAACAATATAATACTGAGAGGGAGGTGGGGTGGTTTGGGCCCCACATGGTGGTACTCAGGGATTATCCTGGCTCTGTGCTCAGGGATCACCCCTGGCAGTGCTCAGGAGACCATACGCAATACTGTGGATTGCACCAGGACCATTCAAGTGCAGGCAAATGCCGAAATTCCTGTATTACCTCTCTAACCCAATAACATAATTTTTATTATTCCAGTAATAAAATCTCTCAGAATAACTTCCATGGTACATCCCCTTCTTTGTATTGTTAGGAAAATTAATGTAATTTCTCATAGTTTCCAAATTTCTCAAGTTTTCTTAACGTTCTCTTGGCAGTCAAAACCCTTCCAATATAAGGTTGTTCATGAAAATCAGGGTCCAGAACTCCAGAACATGGAGTTTGTTTGTGAGCCGTGGTAGTACTAAGGGTCGTTCACATTTCCCTTTCACTGAAGAATGGATAATAGTACCTTTGTTGCACACAGGGTCCAGAAGTCTTAAAACACTGGATGTTTCACAATGAAGATTTAATAAGTCCAAAGGAGTGTTTCCAATCATACACGTTCAGTGCCCAGGGCTCACTCTGATGGCTAATCTTCAGAGCTTTTACTCCTGACATCCTTGTAGTTAGTGAGACGGCCAGAGACAGAGGAAATGCCCCAATGTCCAGCAAGATATCTGTTGTTCAGTAAGCTGCTCGCCCTCAGAGACTGATGGAAACCAGCTCACAGTGTATGAGAAGAGTAAATGGAAAGCTTGGGGCCCAAGAAGGAAACTCCACCTTCTTGGATGCTTCTGGGGTGATTAAAATTGTGTCAAAATGAATGGTGATGGTTTCCCTGGAGTATGCCTTGCCAAAAACACATCAAACTGGTTGCTTAAAAAGGATCCTTCTTTTTTGGTTTTGGGGTCACACCCAGTGGTGTTCAGGGCTTACTCCTGGCTCTCTGCTCAGGGATCTCTCCTGGCAGTGCTCAGGGAACTATTTGTGGTTCTGGGAATTAAACTCAGCTTGAATGCAGACAAGGCAAAGACCTTGTTCACTATTTTCTTTCTTTCCCTCCCTTTCTCTCTCTCTCTCTCCCTCTCTCTCTTCCCCTCTCTCTCTCTCACTCTCTCTCTTCCCCTCTCTCTCTCCCTCTCTCTCTCCCCCCCCCTCTCTCTCACACACACACACATATATACATACATATGAAAATGATTCTTCACCTCTCAAGTCTTGTTTGCTTTGACAAGATGATAAAAGTTATATATTCAGTACCAGGAAGGTAACTCAAAGACCTGGAGCATATGCTTTGCATGCTGGAGGCCCAGATCCAATCCCCAGCACTGCATGGTCTCAAGTCCAAGTACTGAGCCTGGAGTATTCCCTGAGCACGACTCTGTGTGGCTCCATTTCTCCCTTCTTTCCCCTAGGAAATGTGTATATAAGATACTCACCCCATTTCATGGATTTCATGACCTCCCCTTCACCTTGGCCCAGTCAAGAACATGTGCCTTTGTGTTTTATTTTTGGGGGGCTGAAATTTGAGGGCCCATATTAGCAGTGCTCAGGACTTCCTCTTGGCTCTATGTTCTGGATCACTCCTGGGGGTGCTCTGGAGACCGTGTGTGGGAATTAAACTGGGATCAGTCTCACACAAGGCATATACCTTAACCTCTGTACTATTCCTCTGGCCCCACCTTGGTGTTTTAAAGTGAACCTCAAGAAGCAAGATGAGGGCCTGAGAACAGGGGAGTATAGTTTTATAATCTACATGTCAGTGGTAGCAGTGGGAATAGAACACCACGAACACACTCTTCTTTTTTTTTTATTTTTGGGTCACTCCTGGAAATGCACAGGGGTTACCTCCTGGCTTTGCACTCAGGAGTTACTCCTGGCGGTGCTTGAGGGACCATATAGGATGCTGGGAATCGAACCCGGGTCGGCCACATGCAAGGCAAATGCCCTACCCACTGTATTATCGCTCCAGCCCCATAAATACACTCTTGATGGTTGCAGTGTCAATATTTCAAAGCAGAGATTTCACACCTATGAATGCCAGGCATTTTTGTTCATCTGTCAAGTACTGCACCCACTTTATTGTTACTAGTTCATAGATTATCTTGGAATTTATTACTTGAAGATTTTGCAGCTGCCTCTAACCCATGGGGTGAGAATCATAGTGTTTGTTCAGTTTTTGCCACTGCCTCCCCACCCCTCTAGACCCCTTCCCATCGTGGCCATCTCATTTGCTCTTTCTTCTCTTCAGTTTTCTGTCTCCTGTATCTTCCTTCAGCCTTTTCTTCCTCTGCCATGTTCCCTTTCTCTCTCTGTCTCTTTCTGTGTGTGTGTGTGTGTCTCTGTCTCTCACTCTCTTTTTTTCTCTCTCTCCTTATTTCTTCCTCTCTGTGTTTCCTGTCTAGGTGAATACTGTGTGGGGGAAACTGCATTTGGTCAGGATGGATTAGAATGATCAACTTCCTGTTTTATATTATTATCATAAGATACCTCCTGAGGTTTGTAGATATGAATTTTGTACAAATTTAGTTTTATTTTCTGTGGCTTAGAGGTATAGGATCTTCTGGGGCCTGATAATCACGAAGGACCACCAGTGTGGCTTCATTGTTTTTTCCAGATGCTCTTGGATTATCTGTCACTGTCACTGTCCTCCTGTTGTTCATCGATTTTCTCGAGCGGGCCCAGTAACGTCTCCATTTTGAGACTTTGTTGTTACTGTGTTTGGCATATCGAATACGTCACGGGGAGCTTGCCAGGCTCTGCCGTGCGGGTGAGATACTCTCGGTAGCTTGCCGGGCTCTCTGAGAGGGGCAGAGGAATCGAACTCGGGTCGGCCATGTTGGCTGCGTGCAAGGCAAGCGCCCTTCCCACTACAAGGGAGAAAAGAAGGATAGAAGGATGGATGGGTGGATAGAACGATAGAAGGATGGATGGGTGGATGGATGGAGGGAGGGCGGGTGGGCAATCATTGCCTCATACTGCCCTTCTTTCCCTTCCTTGTTCTACCTGTGGAGGTTGATCAGTCACTTTTGCTGACCCACAAGTATTGGCTATCATGACAGAGCCACTTTCAGTGATGGTGCTGACATAAATTTCTAATCAGAGATGTGTTTTCTGGGGGAGCTGGAGTGATAGTAGAGCAGGTAGGGCACTTGCCTTGCATGCTGCCAACCTGGGTTCAATCCCCAGCACTGTAAAGGGTGCCCTGAGCCCCCACCAAAGAGTGATCCCTGAGCGCAGGGTCAGGACTAAGGCCTGAGCACTGCCGGCTGTGGCCCAAAAACAAACACAAAAAGTATTATGTTTTCTGTCTGAAATGTGAAAGGGTAGGCCCCTTGCCCACCATTCCACCTGAGGAAGAACTTTGCTTCTGAGTCAGCTCCCTGCGGGGTTGAGTTGAGTTTCAGCTCACCAGCCTTACACCTTGTGGGCGATGATTAGTGTCATCCAGCACGAGTACTGCTCACCGATTCCTCCCTCCCTTCCCCAGAACCGTGATGGCAGTATTGACTTCCGCGAGTATGTGATCGGCCTAGCTGTCCTGTGCAACCCCGCCAACACAGAGGAGATCATCCAGGTGGCATTTAAGGTACTGTCAACCCCACTGAGAGCATTGCAGTCTGCCTGGCAAACGAGTGTTGACTCTAAACATATTATTTGAAAACCCTTAAATCTATTAAGCGTGTTTATAGATCCGCTGTGACACATCCACAGAGTAATGTGATTAAGGCGATTGCTGCCGAAGCCCAGGAAAACACAAGCATCCGTTTAAGCAAATAGAAAAAAAAGAGAAAAGAATAAAAAAGAAAAGGGAAGAAAAAAAGATGTCTTGGAAAAGCAGCCTAGTTCCCAGCATCAAGATTGAAGAGCAAGTGATCCTACACATTACCTTAAATCAGTATTTCTTAGGGCAGGAGAGATAGTATAGAGGGTAAGGCACTTGTCTCATATGGAGTTCAGTCCTTGGCACTGTATAGAATGACCCCCTGAGCTCCACTAAGGGTGATCTCTGAGGGTTGAAGCGATAGGGCAAAGCAGGTAGGGCATTTGCCTACCTGGGTTCAATCCCTGGTATCCCATATGGTCACCTGAGCACTCTAGGAGTCATTCCTGAGTGCAAAGCCAGGAGTAACTCCTGAGCATCGCCAAGTGTGACCCTAAAAGCAAAAAAAAAATGATCCTTGAGTGCAAAGCCAGGAGTAAGCCCTAAGCACCACCAGATGTGGCCCCAAACGAAAAAGAAACAAACAAAAACACGATTTATTTTCAGACCCTCCATTTTAAGAGCAGCAAAGTGAGGTTTACAAATGAACATCCCCCTCAAAGATGCATCTTAATTCACTGTACCAGCAGTTCTACTCTGCCCTTCATTTTTCACTCTGCATGTCAGAGATATTTCAAGTGGTATTTTTCTGATGGAACGCATTTTGTGGGAGATGCTGAAACGTGCTTCATCTTATCCATTCTCCTGCCATGGAAAGGGCTTCACCTAGTGGATATTTCAGTGGCATGTTCCCATCATTAGTGGATGAATGCTTGGCGGAGGAAGTGTTCACATGGAAGGAACTAGAAGGTGTCAATCACAGAATCTCAATCAAAAGTAAAAGGAAAATGGAGATAGTAATACTCATGACATAGAAGACATTTCAAGATCAAAATGTGAAAATGTTTAGAAGTATTAGCAATAGTTTGGTTATATTAGAATGTATTGAATTCACCCAGTAGGCTTGGATTTTTGTCACCTAAAGATAACTTAAATTTATTGATTTTTTTAATTTGATGATGCACTAAAATTTCTACCAATGAGCTGGTAGAAATGTGGGGAAAAGGCCCATCGTTTGCTTGCAGCAGACTGTGTATATTGCTGGGTCCTTCTGTGCCACTTGCTGGTCTTTGTCTCCATCTGGCATAACAAGTGAGGACTTTTCTTGAATCCCATTTCTGCTCTTATTATCCTGTTTTTTTCCTCACATTCCTGCCAGACCCCAGCATGTTTGTTTCTCTCCATGATCCAGAAAGGCTCTCTTCTTCCAAGAATATGTTCACAACTTCCCAAAGACCACTGCGGACTTCCTAGGGTGTCACCCTATCCTGTTGGTAGCAGAGGAGTCCCCAAGTCTTCGTTTTGTTTCAGATTGGTTTCCGTGGAGTTAACTGCTCAACCTGAAGAATCGAAAGACCTGATTCTTAGCAGATGGTCCTAAAGCAGGGGCCAGAGATTTCCTCCAAGTTTAAAACTTTTGGCTTTTACAAACTTATTCATCACAAACCCTAAAATTACACACATCGCTCACTTATTCCGACCCAGATCTTTCTGTTTCTGTCTTGGGACTGCATGTGTAATTATAGGTTCAGTGGGGACAAATGGTCACTTTCGGTTTACCAATGAAAGGCCTGATAGAGAATTTAGTCCCTCATCACTGTAATTATTGTTTTGAGAGAAGTTGTGAGATTTTTATCTAGCCTAGACTTTGGTTTGGGGGAGAAGCAAGGAAGAACCAAAACTATCATTAGCTCTTTCTTTCCAGTAAGGCCAGGTCAGGCTCATGTTAGGTACTTCCTAGACTTTCTGGTCAGGTGTGCTGTGCTGTTGAAACTGTGTGACGCACACTTCCATTGGAGCAGGAGGATTTGGGATTCCGAGGATCCAGTCACCTCCTTTTATTTTTTTAGGAGGCCTGGAGCATAGTGCTGTCTCCTTCCTGCCTTTGATCTCCTTTCATTGCCACAGTGACCTTTAGAGGTAGAAGCAGATTAGTCAGAGTCCTCCAGTTGGATGCCAGGGGCAGTCTGTGGCAGAGGGTGAGCTGGCAGCTATGCAGTGGGCTCCAGGGAAGACTGGGTTCTGGCATTTCTAGACCTCCAACTGCAGGCGTTGCCCACACTCTCCCCTCGGGCAGCGCAGTTAGACTGAGCAAGCTTCAACTCTGTTCTTCACGCACATTCCAGATGGGGCCAAATGGTCCTGGGCCATGTGCTGGCCAGACAGGATGTTTCGATTTAAGAGTCCCAGGGGATTCTAGGCAATGAGGAGCCCTCCATTCCCCATTCTTAAAGAAAACGGGGTGTTATGCTTTTTCCCAGAACACAGATCACAGAATTGACCGGAGATCCTGGCACATGGCTGCTGGGAATGTATTGGGAGTAATGAATCAGTGAGGGAAGAAGATAGGAGGGTGTCTTCTAGGGGCACGATCTGGGGGAGCTGTGACAAAGGACAAAGGAAGTCAGGGTTCAGTGTGGATACGTGAAGGGAGCTTTAAAGAAGTGAGGCCCCTGGCTCCCTAAGGAGGCAGAGTGCAGACTAGAGGAAGCAGGGACTCAGGATGCTTCCCAGTGGGAGATTTTACCAGAGCCCAGAGTCCAGAACGGGGTGACCTAGCCTGGCACACTGACTGATATTCAGGGCCCAACAAGAGGCCTGGGGTTGTCTGCTGGTGAGAGCAACTGCCAGTTCCCTTCTTCTTTTTCACTTCTTTTCTCCCCTCAAGGGCTGAGTGGTAGAAAATGGACTCAGAGTCAGCTTGTTCCCTGCTGGGGGCAGCAAACCCATCAGTTCCCTGATGTTTATCCTCCTCCCATCCCTGTGGGCAGTGGAAATGTTAGTCCATGTTTGCTTATTGTTCCTTTTGTCATACCTTACTTAGTTCATGCTTTTTCCCCCCCTCCACTTCTGATCAGTTTGAACAGAGGTTGAAACTTTAAGAGCCAGAGCTCTAGATATTATCTGCTGAAGTTTGCTTGCCAGCTCTGTCACTCACAAGTTATGTGACCTAGAAGGTGACTGACCCAACTGCCTGGCGGCACAGCTTTCTCCTCGTAAAGTGAGGTCTACATTTCTGATCAGTGTCTGTCCAGAAAAAGTGCTTATGGGAATGGATATTCATGCAAGAATTTTGGAAAATGCCAATGAGGTTTTTTTAAGAAGCTAATGATAAAGCTGCTGTTAGATACAGTAATACTACTTTTGGGGTATTTACCCAAAGAATATGAATACATTAGCCCCAAAAGTTGTGCCCACAGCAGTCTTTATTGCAATACAAAGCTAAGATTTGGCAGCAATTGAGGTGCCTGTTGATGAATGACTTGATAAAGATGTGGAATATTTTATTGTATATTTCATCTATACTGGCATACTATTCAACTACCAGAAAAGAGGAAAATTTGCCATTCACAATAAACCATAAAGAACTTGAGGGAATTATGCAAAACAGAATACATCAAGTGGAAAAAGACTTTGATGACTTCACCTGTGTGTGTACAAAAAGAATGAAAAATGAATGAACAAGAGAAAAAAATAGAAATAGATATTGATAACAGAACTGTTACCTGAAGAGTAAGAGGACGGAGTGGGAGAAAAAAAATTTTAATGAAAAAATAATAGGTAAGAGCTTATGTCATAAAAAAGTGTAATTGTTAGGAAAAGATTTTGGATTTGTATACTTATCCATTATCCTGTTTCGCTGCTGCCTTTCTGTCTGTCTCATACTACTGCCTTTGTCCATAATTTCTTTTTTTTTTCCCAGAAGTTGTATTCAGGAAGAAATTATGGACAAAGGAAAGGCAATAAAGGTAGTAAGCACAAATGGAGGCTGTCCTTAGGAAGGAAGGAATTGAATATGTTTACAGGTAGAAGGGAACAGGCAGTAGTATGAGACAGACATACTCCATTTAATACATAACACCACCAGCCGGGCCAGTGGTGCAGTGATAAGGCTCAAGAATGTGGTGCTGCTCAGGCCCTGCAGTGCTGGGAACCACCAGGGCAAACCTGGCAGTGCTGTGGGTAGGTAGACCCCAGGGCCACATTTAGTACTGCTTAAGAGGCTGTGTGGTGCCAGGAATCAAACCCAGGTCAGATGTGTACACCCTAACCCCTGTGCTGTCTCATACCCTGTCCTTCCCCATCATTTCTCCTAAGCCTGGTCTTGTCGCTGACCTCCTCCTCCCCAGCCATTCTTTGATTCCCCTTCATCTGACTTCCAGTTCCCAAAACTTAGTTTGTGGATGTTGCCAACATCTCCCAGCTACCAGAACCAGCGAGACTCTGCTTCTTGCTTGACCTTCTTATGGCATTTCACTGCTGACTGGTCCCGCTGTGTTTGCTGAACGCCCTCCCCTGAGTTCCAAGATGCATGCACGTCTCTGTTCCCCATCTCAGATACCACTTTTCTGAAACTCTGCCCGTTCCTCTTCCTTCCACACACCCCTTCTTGCTGTTCCCGGGGATTTGCCTGCCTTTTCCACACATCCTCTATAGATGAATGCCCATACACTATAGTTCCAGTTCTTATCCGGGTTCATAGTTCAAGCTGTATCACCCTCCTGATCTGAGGTGCTGAGTTGCTTCCTTCTTTCTGGCACCTCTCACTCAAATTTGGGCTACCTGACTCTAACTTTTTATCTCCTGAGCTCCTGTTCTCCCGTTCCTGGAGATGGAACCCACTTTTTATTCAGTGGCCCAAACTAGAAACGCTCCACCGTCCTTTATTTATAACTGATGTGCAGACCTGGTCTTTGCTTCCATATTATTCCTGTCCCTTTTTTGTCTTTCCACTTGTCCATCTGACTCTTCATGGGTTTTCCAGCCTCTCGATCTTGTCTGCCTTCTGCCCAAATCCATCTGCCACACTCTGCCTCTAAGCATTCACTCATCTACAACTCTCACTACTTGACCTACATTCTCACTACTTGGCCTTCGATTAGAATTTCACAGGGGTGGTTGAGGCATTATATCTCCAACATGGTTTCATTCCTACTTCCATCTTTCTGCACCTGTGCCCCGGGTTATAAGACCTTGTCTTATTCCAGGAATATCTGTTCTCTTTCCAGCACTGCATGGTATATAGTGTGAGGGCAGCAAAGACCCTCCCTTCGTTACGTGCAAATCCCTGGATTCTGGTGAATATGTATTTGCATTTTTAAAATTTTTTCCCCTGGGGCTGGAGCATTAGTACCACAGGTAGTGTGATTGCCTTGCATGCAGCCAACCCATATTCAATCCCTGGCACACCAGGTAGTCCCTGGAACCTGCCAGGGTGATCCCAGAGCACAGAATCAGGAGTAAGTCCTGAGCACCATTGGGTGTGCTCCCCACTCCTATATCTTTCTTATCTATCTGTTTGTCTGTCTGTCTATCTATATGTATATATTTAATTGGGCTGAAGCAATACCACATCGGATAGGGTGTTTGCCTTGCATGCAGTCATCCCGGCTGACCCAATTATTTTCCAAGACTATGACGTTTCACTCTTTCTCTGATGGAGCTGGTTTGAACACTTTTTCTTTTTCCTTCAGCTCTTCGATATGGATGAAGACGGCTTAATATCAGAGGAAGAATTCTCCACTATACTGCAGGCTTCCCTTGGAGTTCCTGACCTGGATGTTTCTGGGCTCTTCAAGGAAATAGCTCAGGGGGATTCTACGGTATCCTACGGTGAGTAGCAGGTTGGCTCCTGATTCTGTTTTTAAGGAGCACATATAGACTGAATAGACCTTCATAGTAGGGTGCTGTTTCCCACACTGCTTATATTAATGAAGAAGAAAGAAAGGCCCTCCCGTTGATCATCGATTTGCTCGAGCGGGCCCAGTAACGTCTCCATTGGAGACTTTGTTGTTACTGTGTCTGGCATATCGAATACATCACAGGGAGCTTACCGGGCTCTCCGAGAGGGGTGGAGGAAGCGAACTCGGGTCGGCCATGTTGGCTGTGTGCAAGGCAAACACCCTACTGCTTATATTAATAATAAAAACAATATTAATAGAGATAATGACAGTAATAATAATGATGATGTTAGTGGTTTTAACCACAGTTAATTGGGACTTACATTATGCTGAGTACTCTTCAAAATACATATATAAAGCTCTCTCTATATATATGTATATATATGTGTGTGTGTGTGTGTATATATATAAACTCAGAGCCTCCCCTTGTGGAGGTGGCTCCAGCCTTTAAGGAAGACGGGACACTGATTTGTGGCCTTGCGGGAGATGCCTGGGTTATCACAGCAGGTAGGGCCTTTGCCTTGCATGCGGCTGACCCAGGTTCGATTCCTCCGTCCCTCTCGGAGAGCCTGACAAGGTACTAAGAGTATCCCGCCCACATGGCAGAGCCTGACAAGCTCCCCGTGGCGTATTCTATATGCCAAAAACAGTAACAACAAGTCTCACAATGGAAATGTTACTGGTGCCCACTCGAGCAAATCAATGAACAACGGGAGGACAGTGCTACAGTGCTATATAAACTCAATCATTATAGTCAGTCTCTTTAATCAGTCTTCCTCATTCTTATTTAACTGAGATGCAGAGAATTTAACTCACACAAGTTCGTCTAGCTAGAGGGTTTCAGAGCCAGGAATCCAAAGCCAAAACAGTCTGACTTTGCTGCCAGTGCTGCTGACCTCCATACCTTGGTCGGTGGCTCACTTCTCTCTCTAATCTGCCGCCCTTCCTGGAATCTCTTTCCTCTCCATTGCCTATGGGGCCAAGCAAGTGAGAGAATTAACAAGACTGAGTCACAGCCACAGGGGAGGACTGTGACCCGAGACAGCTACAGTGAGGATGGAAGCAAGATTATCTGTTCGTGTCTGTCGGCTTACCTCTTCAGGGACCTTTACAGTCCCAGGTCCTGTGGAGGTCGGGGCCAAGGTGGAGGGTAACCTTATAGTCAGGTAGTGAGGTACATTCACCCATGACCAGCCTTCTTCTCAGTAGCTGGAATCCATGCAATTCCCACTGGGCCCCATGTCCATCCCCAGCTGTCACCCACCGTGGTCCTTTGAGCCCCATGTCAGCCGGAAGTCCTCCGTGGCTGTTTCCTCTATTGAGTTTGGATATTGCCATTCATGCCTGTTCAGCCCTTCTCCTCTGGTATTTTGCTTTCCACTGGAGGGGAATTTGAACGATTTTTCCTGATGGTCTTCAAAGAGTATCAGCTTGCTAGAATTCATGGAGCCAGGGTATGAGATCACAGTTTCTCTTATTTTCTGTTTTTAGTTACTGGTAATTTTGCTGTTCTTTCTATGGTTTTGATAACTGCCTCAGGCATTTACTCCATTGAGTTAATTTTCTTTTAAGTAAGAAGGAACAAATTTGGAAAGTACATACTTATGAGTCATAAACTCCACGCATACCATATTCTCTGACAATTTCCCTTTCATAAATAAGACTCTTTATTGTGCTGGAAGACAACTTAGAATAATTGTTTTAATGGAAATTCACACTATCATTGATGACAATATCCTCATAATTTTTCTAGTCATTTTATTTGGAGCCACATTCAGCATTGCTCAACCTTACTTGGTGTTCAGGGGTCACTCCTGGCAGTGCTCGGGAATTGAATTGGGACTGGCTGTGTGCAAGGCAGGTGCCTTACCACCTATATCTCTCTGTCATTTTAATATTTTCTTTGTTTATTTTTGGGCCATGGCCAGCATTGCTCAGTACTTATACATGGCTCTGTGCCCAGGGGTCATTCCTGTCTGTTGTGGACCAAACTACGGTCAGCCACATTCAGGGCATGTACCTTAACCCATACTATCTCCTTAGACCCATTTTGGTCTTCCTTTGGGGCGGGGGGCACACTTGGCTCTGTGCTCAGGGGGGACACTAAGAAATGCTAGGATTGAAGCTGTTGTTGTACCCCAACCAATGCACTATCTCTTCGGCCCCTGTCTGACCCTATTTTTATATCTTAGGGCACTATCTCTTCAGCCCCTCTCTGGCCCTATTTTTATAATATCTTAGGGCACTTTGTGGTTTAAAAATATTTTTTAATATTGAAATGGCATGACTACATAGTATTGTATTTATACTTTTGGCGTACAGTTACTGCACCTTTCCTACCAACTAAGAGTGTTTTTGGAATTTAGTATTTTTCTTTTGAGAGTTCCCAGAATCATCTTCTTTTCCCCACTTAAGCAAATTCTCTTTGCACACATACACATACTGTCTCACGCATGCATGAATTTTTAAAGTATTTAACTATAATTTCATAAAAGAATAAGTATTAAAGAGCATCATGAATGTCACTATCTCAATTGCTTAAATGTGCTCATTTCACACACAATCACACAACCATCCTGTTATTCGTCGATTGCCTTGAGTAGGCCTCAGTAACATCTCCTTCGTCCCAGCCCTGAGATTTTTTTGAAAAGTGCCATATTCAAGGCTCTTTCAGAGTTAGGAGAATGAGACCCTTCATTTAGACCCTTCATTTAAATGTGTTCATTTAGGGGTCAGAAAGGTAACAGAGGGTAAGACAGTTGCCTTGTACACAACTGACCATTTATGGAGTGATGGGGATCAAATCCCATAATATTAAAAAATAATATTAAAAATATTATGGGTTAGATCCCTAGCAACCCATATGGTTCTCAGAACCTCACTAGCAGTGATCCTTGAATGCAGAGTCAGGAGTAAGCCTTACGTATCATCTGGCGTGGCCAAATCCCCCTCCACACACACATACACACACAAAAGTGGTCATTTCAACTGTTTTTGTCCTTGGCTGGAAATTAGCCAAATTAACAACCAAATTCAACTTCAAGTTCATTCACAGGATTTTGTTAAAAATGAGTTAGTTGTGTTTAGTGCCTCTGACTTCTCCAGAGAATAGAGACTGTTCTTGGGAGTAGAGCATGAGTCTTGAAATTAAAGTTTTTAGTTGCAAAGAGATGAGTGTAATTGTCCGATTCGGGTTGTTAGGCATTCGAATAAATCAATGCTCATGGCCAAATTCATGTTGACAAGGACACCGACACCACCATTGCCTCTTTTGTCACATGTTCCGAGGAACAGTTCTTCTCCAGTGTCGAAAACGGCATGATGCCCTCTTGTCTCGGTCAGACCAATGATGTCATACTTGATCTTTCACGCTTGTACCGTCAGTTCCTCGATAGATGCATCTGATGCATATGATGCCCAAATCGGACAATTACACTTGAATAGATGTGGCTCACTGCCGGCAGTTTCTATCTTCGTTGTCTATGCACCAACATCTAATTATGATGAAGGAGAAATTGAGAAGTTCTACATGGAGCTGGAGAAGTTCTATAAAGAAGACCACACCTTCTACAAGATCGTTGTTGGTGATTTTAATGCCAAGATAGGATTGAGAAGATCAGCTGAAGAACTCCACATCGGTACCCTTGGCCTAGAATGGAACAAACAGGGTGAAAGACTACCTGAGTTCATCATGTCGACCAAGACCATCCATGGTAACTCAGTTCCAGAAGGCAGAATCTAAATGTTGGACATGGGAGTCTCCCGAGTCTCCCAGTGGACAGTTCCACAGTGAAATTGACCACATTATATTCAATCAACAGTTTTGCCTGACCAATGTTGCTGTTGTCCCAGAATTCCAAACGGGATCGGACCACCATCTCCTTCATGCAAAATTCTACTTCACAGAACGGGGAGAAAGGGCTGCAAAGTTTAAGAAGAGAACTCCCAGAACAACAACCAACTGGGAGCTCTTTGGCACTATTGTTTCAACATGGGAAGATGCCGTCACTGACAACATTGACAAGACATACGATCGACTGGTTCAGTACCTCCATGATTATGCGAGGAACGCCAAGAGAGAGATAGCCACAAAAAAACTCCTGTCTTAGAAAACTCTTGAGCTCATTTGCCAGCGTGGCTTGGCACATGCCTCAGGCAACCGCAAACGAACATCTGAGCTCGCAAAGCAGTGCAGAGAAGTGATAAAGGAAGACCTCAAAGAGAGAAGAGCAGCAGTACTGGTAGATGTGGCAGAAGTTGGGAAAAGCATTCGCAACGCCCACCTGTCCTTCGCCAACTACAAGACCAAGATGACTGCCCTCCGACATCCTGATGGATCTAACACATCTTAAAAGGGCAATAGAGAAGATTATCCATGACTTCTACTCAGATCTCTTTGATACCCACGTCCACCTGCCCACATACCAAATTCCACAGGATGGATATATTGTTCCCAATGTTCTCCCTTCTGAAATCCCACACGCCATTTTGTCCGTAAAGAAACAAATAGCACCTAGCCCAGACAAGGTCAGACCTGAATACCTGAAGAACCTGCCATCAGTACTCATCAATACACTGGCTCAGCTCTTCACATGCTACCTGTCTGAATGCAAGATTCCATCCCAATGGAAAACCATCAGGACTGTACTACTGTACAAAAAGGGAGACATCCATGACATTGGCAACTATCACCCGATCTGCCTATTATCTGTCATCTACAAGCTGTTCAACTCAAGTCATCCTGAATAGGATTGGCAGAACACTAGATGAAGGTCAACCATGCGAGCAAGTCAGGTTCTGCAAAGGATTCAGCACGATTGACCATATCCACATGATAACCAAGCTCATTGAGGTTTCTCAGGAGTTCAAGATGCCGCTTTGTCTAATGTTCATTGATCTAAAGAAGGCCTTTGATTCTGTATAGACGAAAGTGGTCATTGAAGCCCTAGCCAATCGGTGCATTCAAACTCAATACATCAGGATCCTCCATGAGCTGTATTACAGATTCACTACCAGGATCTCACCATTCTACAAAGAAGTAATCATTGATGTCAAGAGAGGGGTTCAGCAGGGTGATACCATTTCACCAAAACTCTTCAGTGCCACCCTCGAGAACGTCATGTGATGACTGACATGGAAAGGAGTGGTAGTGAAGATAGACAGTAGGCAACTACACAGCCTTTGCTTTGCTGATGACATCATTCTAGTAACACCAAACATTAGCAAAGTGGCACAAATGCTGGCCGACTTCAACCATGAGTGTGGAAAGGTTGGACTCCAGCTGAATCTCATGAAGACAATGTTTATGTAAAACCTCGTTCCTGATGTTCCATTCACTCTCAATGGAATGACCATCTCCAAATGCAACAGTTATGTGTACCTAGGTCGAGAAGTCAACATGACGAATGACCTGGCATTTGAGTTGTGCAGGAGGGAGAGAGCAGCTTGGAACGCCTTCAAGAGAGTCAAAGAAATAGCTAAGAGGATGAAGAACCTTTCATAGACGGAAGGCAGGCTCAGATGGCAGGCTCTGGGTACATCTCTTTGATTCCATTGTTCTTCCTGCATTAATTTATGCCTCAGAGACCTGGGCCCTACGGGATGAGAACGCTAGTCAGGTCTCCCAAAGAGAAATCGAAAAAGCTATGCTTGGAGTATCACGTTTCACTCAAATGAGAGAAAGAATCCAGAGTTCCGACCTCTGTCGATGGTCAAAAATCAGGGATGCTGTCTCATTTGCCAAGGCATCGAAAATCAGATGGGCTGGACGCATGATGAGATTTGGAGATGACCTCTGGACTAGAGCCATTACCGACTGTATTCCACGGGACGTCAAAAGACTGCATGGCTGCCCACCTACAAGATGGTCAGACTTCTTCGTCAAGACCCTAAACAATTGGTTTGAGGCTCTTCGTGTTCCTAGAATGAACAGAGTCCATTGGGCTACACTAGCATGCTGGAGGAACAAATGGAGACGTTACTGGCGCTCGTGCGAGCAAATCAGTGAGTAACAGGATGTCAAGTGATCAAGTGATCAAGTTTAAAAGAATGATTTGCTCACAGTCCAGCGACTTCCTCAGCATGAAGATCTGCTTCTGACCTCGGTAGCCATCCGGTATCAAATGTCCATAAAGTAGACAGATCTTGGTTCTCCAAAGACATTGGATTAGAGAGTCAAGTAGCAAGCAGAGTTAAAACTGCTCCCTTTGCTATATATGCTAAGTACAGTTTGCACCATCCAAAACAGGAGAAGCTAGAGAACATCCACAATTGAGGGGAGCATTCTATTTCCAAAGGTGCAGGTTCCTGAGGTTGAGGTTCATATATGGATGGTAAACATGTCATGATCACATTACCTCTACCTCTACCTCAATTCCTAAATCTAGGATACTGGAGTAGTCAAGATCTGCCTGCCACATAGACCTCCATGAGATGCTGGCTCTCTGATGGGTAACACTGGCCTTCGCCACCAGCAAGCAGCATCTCAGCTTTATTGGGCGGAAGGAGGGGGGCCATTGAGGGTAGGGTTTGGCCACTCCTAGCAGTACTCAGGGCTTAAGTCTAGCTCTGTGCTCAGGGATCGTTCCTGGTGGTGCTTGAGCAACTATATGCAGTGACATGGATCAAAACAGTCTTAGCTGCATGCTAAGCAAGTACCTATATTATCTCAGTCCAGGTTTGACTTTTGGGCTGGAGCGATAGCACAGTGGGTAGGGTGTTTGCCTTGCACGCAGCCACCATGGCTGACCCGAGTTCGATTCCTCCGCCCCTCTTGGAGAGCCTGGCAAGCTACCAAGAGTATCTCGCCCGGACAGCAGAGCCTGGCAAGCTACCCGTGACGTATTCGATATGCCGAACACAGTAACAATAAGTCTCACGATGGAGACGCTACTGGGCCTGCTCGAGCAAATCAATGAACAACGGGAGGACCGTGACCGTGACCAGGTTTGACTTTTAAGGCTTTAGGTTTCTATACTATACTATATCTCAAAAGCCAGTTCTAGAAAGCCCTGGGTGATTGAAATTTTTAAATAATTTTTATTACAAAAAATATTCAAAATATAAAAAAAAACAGAGCATGGTGAAGTTTTATAAATATGACATATGTAGCAACCACTTTGGGCAACAAATGGATCTTTAGGGACGAGAGGGAGAGTTCAGGAGGTAAGATGCTTGCATTGCACACGGCTGAGACAGGTTCGATCCCCAGCACCACTTATGGTTCCCCAAGTCCCACCAGGAGTGATCCCAGAGTTCAGAACCAGGAGTAAGTCCTGAGCACAGCCCTCTCATGCACCCTTCCCCCCCACCCCCCAAAAAACAACAAATGGAATTTTAGGCAGGGGAAGTGCTCAGGGGTCAGAGGCACATGCTTTGTGGGTTTGAGGACCCATGTTCTGTCCCTGGTCCTAGTGGCCCGGCCTTCTGGACCTGAGCAGCCAACCCCAGCATTGAACTGCCAGCCTGAGTGACCAGGTATTCCCAGGAATGTCCCCACACTCCCTGAGAACTACTTAAGAATAAAGAATACCCCTAACACACACACACACACACACACACACACACACACACACACACACACACACACAGCTTTTCTAGAACTTCAGAACCCCTTGTGCAGTCCCCTCAGGCCCTACCCTGCTCTCAAAAGAAGGTGCTGCTGGCCTGACTTCAAAAGGAATTTTCTCTTTTCTTTCACATTTCACCGCTAAAGAACACATTTTTAAATGTACATTTTTATTTTGCTTAAGATTTGAATTTAAGGCCCAGAATGATAGTGCAGCGGTAGGGAGCTTGCCTTGGATGCAGCTAACTTGGGTTCAATCTCTGGCATTCCGTATGGCCCCCTTAAGCTCCACCGGAGTAATCCCTGAGTGCAGAGCCAGGAGTAAGTCCTGAGCACTGCCAGCTGTGTCCTTCCCCGTCCCATCCAAAAAAAAAAAAAATTGAACTGGATAGAATGGCCTCATACATATGTGCATATGTATGAGTATGTATGAAAGAATCTGCATATATACTTTCATGTCTTCTCATTTTTATTCAGTATTACATTCTCAGATTTTATCTGTATTGTTATCACAACCTTATATGCTGTACATTCTCTCCGGCACCCTCACTGAGGAATTCTTTTATGTGGAAGTTAGCAATGAATCATTTTATTCAGACCTTTTGCTGGCATGGAATTTATTCCATCTCCCCTATGCCCCTTTTCAGTTTATTAATTTTACATCTTACTAGAGTGATTGGGCTGGAGCAATAGCACAGTGGGTAGGGCGTTTGCCTCGCACGAGGCCGACCTGGGTTCGATTCCTCCGTCCCTCTCGGATAGTACAACAAGCTACCGAGAGTACCCTGCCCTCACGGCAGAGCCTGGCAAGCTCCCAGGGGCGTATTTGATATGCCAAAAACAGTAACAACTAGTCTCACAATGGAGACGTTACTGGTACCCTCTCGAGCAAATCGATGAAAAACGGGAGGACAGTGCTACAGTGCTACAGTTATCACAAGGCTATTTTTTATTTTTATGTCCGTAGGGCATAATGTTCCACAAACATGGCACCCTTTGTGGGTGGTCGCCATGGGCTGGAGCGATAGCACAGCGGGTAGGGCGTTCGCCTTACAAGCGGCCAACATGGCCGACCGGAGTTCGATTCCTCCGCCCCTCTCGGAGAGCCCGGCAAGCTACTGAGAGTATTCGATATGCCAGACACAGTAACAACAAAGTCTCCATTGGAGACATTACTGGGCCCGCTCGAGCAAATCGACGATCAACGGGAGGGCCTTTTATTGTTGCTCTGAACACTGCCCCACATGTTTTCAGACACAACTTTGCCTATTTCTTTAGGGTGTAGCCCTTGGAATAGAGTGACTGGGTCTTAGAGTGTGTATACCTCCAGCTTTATGAGAACAGGGAAAAGCACTCTCTTCCAAAGTGTTGCAGTAATTTATGAGAGTTAAGTGATCAAATTCTGCAGAAATTTTATGGCCGTTGATGTCAATGCCAAAAGAAGCTGCTCCTCAATTTACTGATTTTTTTTTCTCATTTTCTAGAGGAATTTAAAAGTTTCGCCCTAAAGCATCCAGAATATGCCAAGATATTTACAACATACTTAGACCTCCAGACGTGCCATGTGTTCTCATTACCAAAAGAAGTTCAGGCAGCTCCCTTGTTCGCAAGTAATAAAGTCAGTCCTGAAAATCATGACGAGAGCACCTCGGACAAAAAGGATGACTGAAAACAAATACGCCCATGAAGGAAAATTGGCAGTCGCCTACACTTAACTTGGGAAAGACTTCATTGATAGTATTTCAGATGTGATTGTTGCTGAAATGATGCTGAAAAAAGCTTGTGTTTCCTTATTAAAATGCCTCCATTCACGTATATATTAAGCAATATTTCTTTTCTGTTCTATTATACTGTGTTGATTGGTTTACTGGTACTAAACATGAATTGTCCAGTTTGATTTGCATAGCCAATGAATGAAAAAGTGTGACTTACTTCACACTGTAAAGAATATAAATATTTTGTAGTCTACTTTCGTCTAAGGAAATAAATTAATATTAATCTCTAATCCCTTAAGGAAAGCCTACCCTTTTATCCTGATCTGGATATGTAGAACTTTGTCTTAAAGATAACTGCTATGACCAAAGGCTAAGTAGGAATTGCCTTATTGAAAGCAATTCAATATTGATTGCTTAATAAGAAGATGAATTGTTTGCCACAAGTTTGGTTTAATTTGAGCCAGGGAGCAGTTGTCAGAGTGTAGCATTAGTTGTCTACTAATGAATCAGATTTGCTCTAGTCATATAATATTTTATAATTAACATACTTTTGTCATTCAAGTGGGGGTTTCAGAGCTTGTCTGAAACATCTACAGGGAAAATGCAAAGATACCAAAGTTATAACCAAAAGCCAGGGAATCCCAAATACACTTTGTAAATTGAATTTAAACATATTTAACCCCCAGGTAGGAGTTCGAGAGTGACATGTTTCCTTTAGACTAAGTGATAAGTTTCCTCAGTGCCATTTTGTTGGTTGTCATGTTTATTGTACATCGTTTATGTATGAAATGCTGAAAGAACAAGCAGGTGAATACTATGTACAGAAATAGTTGGTTGATAGTTGTCCAACCATAAAAATAGCCTGAAGTCAGTCTTTGAATTCAAACTCTTTATCTTGGGTATGTTTCTGAATACATCGGTAATTCACCTCCAGACTAGTTTTATAAAGCCATTATGAAGTTAAGGCTTATGAGAGATGCTGGAATTTATACTTGATCAAGTCATGATTACAAACTCATTTTATATAGTGAGCAATAGCATTCTAATTTTATAAGAAATATGTCTTTGTATAGTTGTTTACTTATTAAGCATTTCATCCTTAAGTGTGTAAAATTGTTTTTGCTTCTATTTAAGGCCACTTAGACAAAGCATTGAAGGAACTAAATGCAATTACTTTTGCAACTGGAAAAGTACATGTTTTAAATAACCTCTGTCATATGCAGTTGAATGTATGTCATACTCTGGTACCATGATTTTAAAAATCATATTAAAGTTACATTTTAAAAATTATGGTCATCATGAAAAAAGTAACATTGTAAATTTAAAACTTCTGTGAAACTCTTGAAAGTGATTTCATTGTTTAGCTGGTTTTAAAGATTTTACATTTTTCTATTCCATGTCCACCAGTGTAATATTTTCTATCTTGTTATGTTCCTGAGTAAACAGACTGGCTCCATGAAGTTCCTATCAATTAAAAAATTCTGGCTTTGCCATTTTGTGAAAAATGTAATATGCCTTTTTAATATGATGGTTTGAATATAAGTTTGCATATTTTGGGATGTGATTAATCATTCTTGTTTGTATTTAAGCCTTATGAAATGTCAGACATTATTTTACTCTAATGAAAAACTTAAATTTTAGCCAAAGTGGCAATAGTTAATATTTGTCAAGAAGTTGCCTTGATGGAAGGGGGACATGCCCTGAGCATCAGTGTGACCATAGGTGAAGTTTCTACTCTCCTGAGATCTTAACAGAGATTCCCTTCAGAGTCTTTCTCATCCTTAGGAATTAAAGTAAGGAATTAAATTTCATTAAATCAGTTCGACACACTTGAAGTTTTTACACAATAGTTTTTAAAACAGTTTTCCCTTTAGAATGAGAAATCCCAAATCCAAAAACCGTTGAGCCATAAAAATTTCCATCACAACAGTTCTGTTGAAGAATAATGATATAGTAAATGCTGATAGGCTAAGCAGCTGTCATAATGTATATTTAAATCTTTGTTCCACTACCATTGTGAAGACAGATAGTTGGGAGTGAGCAGTGCCTAGAATGGGTATTGAGAAGGGACCACCTCACTTTTCAAAGGTATGTGGTCTATCTGCTTCCATAATTCTCAGTGATATGGAGAGTGGATTTCCAGACTTGGAAACTCCCCTTTCAGACTTTGAAATGGCAATAATAGATGCTTTATTAAAGAGAGCGCCCTTGGCTGTGTTGGAACAGATGGGTTCCCTTTACAAAAGTCATCCCATATACAATAGTCGCTGAAGAGAATAAAATGATACCTATGAGGAAACATTCCCTAGGCATATTTGCGATCAGTTTTCCTTTTTTGTTCACTTGGATGAACTTCTAAAATTTGTGTTAAAGTGTGTTAAACCTTCTTCTGTTTAATGTAACCCTTATTTCCAGGTGTTCTTCTCTCCTTACAGACCTCAAGTGTTTATGTAACGACCATCCATCATGTTGAAACAAATGTTCTCCATTACATTTTGATTCCTAGCTTGCTGTATTTTTTTTCTAACATGTGAACCTAACAGTTTTATCATTCTTATAAAAGAGTACGAACTGGAGCTATGGCAGAGCGGGTAAGGCGTTTGCCTTGCACGCAGCCAACATGGCTGACCCGAGTTCGATTCCTCCGCCCCTCTTGGAGAGCCCGGCAAGATACCGAAAGTATCTAGCCCGCCGACAAAGCCTGGCAAGCTACCCGTGACGTATTCGATATGCCAAACACAGTAACAACAAGTCTCACGATGGAGATGTTACTGGGCCCGCTCGAGCAAATCAATGAATAACGGGAGGACCATGACCGTGATAAAAGAGTATATGAGCATTATAAAATATTTACAAAATATCCTTTGAACATTATAAAATATTTACAAAATATCCTTTACAAAAGTAAAGGATAAATTGGGGGAGGCCAAAAACCATATTTGCTCACACCACCCCAAATAACTATTATAAAGTTCAACACTTTATTTCACCCTCTTTTCTAGATATTCACACATTATTGAGATAACATTATATATGGTATTTTATCCTACTCTTCACTTGTAACATTTCCAGTGTCATGAAAATTCTCTGTAGATCTATTTTGAAATGTACCTAATACACATATAGCTATAATAACATACCTAATCTCTCTTCTAGTATTGAACATGTGAGTTTGATTTTTCACTTTGGAACTATTACAAGTATACAGCTCAACATCCTAGAGTGGTCTATATTTACAATTTATGATTTGCCAAAGTGCCTATAATTTATAAATTCAAAGATAAAAATTCACTAAAGGTAATTGTGAAAAATTATTTTAAACTAATTTTATACAGCAAAAAAAAACAAATTGTTACCTTAAATGATGACTTTTATTTTGGTTTCATGCTAAGTGGTTAATATGTTTATTTTATTTATTTTTTATAATGTAAGAGCACTGCTATTTATTCAGCCATTGATTAAGCTGATTGAATTGTGCATGACCTCCACATTACTTTTTTTTTAATTGTTTAGTTTTATAAGTTAGTTCACAATGTTTGATTACATTCAATATTCAAACACTAGTCCCACCACCCTTACACCTTCCCACCACCAAATTTGGGATGTTTCCATCCCAAGCCCCAATCTCTGTCCCAAAACACAACCACAATAATATATTTTGTATTGTCTGTTATGAAGAACTGCTGAACACACTTACAAAAAAATGTTCATATAGGAAACAGTGTGAAGATTGTTCTATTTTGTCAGGAGCCATTAAGACCTTCTATAGGATATCACTAACGTTGTTAAAGTTTGGGTGATATGAGCTTTGATATATATATATATGTTATATCTGAAAATATGTATATATGTATATTTGCCCCTATGATTTGTTGCCTACTAGCTGAACCCCATCAAATGTGGTGTGGTAATTATGGAGAATGAGTAGAAAGTGTTTTATGTTATGCCGTGTGGCCACTTTCACAGCCTCGCAGTCCAGGAATATGTTTACTCATATGTGAAGCTTGGCCCAAGCACGTGGGGAGTGGCCTTGAGCGTGGCAGCAGTTGGGTTGTGGAGGTTTTTGGCTGCTGGAGCTGGGTCCCCTCGGGTGGGGAGGGCTCTCACCTACTTCCCTCTGGAGCTCTCTGTGTGAAACAGTCTGGTGCAGGGTCCGGTGGTATGGTTATGGGGGCCTCATGTTATGCTCCCTTTCAGGAGAAGCAGCCGTGTAATCTGGATGGTGGCCTATGATGAGATTATCTGACACCAGCAAGAGGTGGATTATGGGGGTGAACCCTGGGTCACCAGATAATGGGGAAAGCAGGCAGAGGATCTCCACTCCCATTGAGCCCAGAGTCCAAGGTCACAAAGTTTCACATTACCTGGGTTCTGTAGGCCTTCATGCATGCATGAGGCTCAGCCAGAGCACATGGGGAGCAGCCTTGAGCATGGCGACTGTTGGGTTGTGGAGGTTTTGGCTGCCGGAGCTGAGTCCCATGGGGCGGGGAGGGCTCTCACCCACCCCACTCTGAGGCGCCTCATGTGGAACAACCTGGTGCAGGCGGGTGACATGGTTATGGGGGCCTTGTGTTATGTTCCCTTTTAGGAGAAGCAGCCATGTGATCTGGCCGATCTCCACATTACTTTTTTTTTCTATTCTGAATGTAAATTTTATTTCATTATTTTATTATTATTTCCCCCCCCCCCATTTTTTTGATTCACCATGAGATACAGTTACAAGTCTTTCATGTTTGAGCTTCAATCATACAGTCATCAAACACCCATCCCTTCACCAGTGCACATTTTCCACGCCAAAATCCCTTGTATTACTACCACCACCCCTCTCACACACCCCCATTCCAACCGTTTCCCTGCCTGTGTTGAGCTTACATAGCTGAGCCGAAGGTGGTTTGTGGGTATGTCTCCCACATACCTAACTTTTGGCTATTTAATTTATTGGTAAACTTGGCCACAAGTTGTTGGGGTCTGGCCAAAGGCACAGCAGCAATTTTTGTGGTATCTGGAAGCCTAAAGGCACCATCAGGCTGCTGATGCACTTGCCCCATAGGTACAGGTTGACCTGCTGGTGGTACCATATCCCCAGCATGTTTATTTTAAAGGAAAGTAGACTTATATAAGAGATTACTTAGAGATAGGGATGTAAGGTAAGTGATTAGAGATAGGGATGGACACTAATCGTTTGTTAAGGGAACAACAGATCGAGATGGAGATGTACTAACTCTAATTAACATATAAATACCAGATATCGATCAGCAAAGTTTTTAAGGCTTTTGCTCACAAACCTTAAAAAAAAACATGGATGGAAAAACAATAATAGTGGAGGCTTCGACTCATTTAAATACTCAATGAAACACAGTTATTGTTGTCCCTGGTTTAACAGAATAAAACTGAGGCCTGTTCCTTAATCATTGTTAAGAGGCAGTGATTAGAATTGAGCTCAATTTTGCCTGATTCAAGAAATATGTATGTACATGACTTCTATAATCATTTATATGAAGCTACATGATTTGTAGAATGTATAGATCTAAAGTATGTCATACATTCTTCCATGAATAGATTCTAAATATTACATATTGACTTAGTTCAATACATTTCTCCGTGGGAGCTTGGAATTCCTGTGTAGTGCTCAGGGGAGCCTGTGCCCACTCCCAGAGATGGGTCAGATGGTACTCTGTGGAGTGAGTAATGCTGAGCGTCTCCAGGGCCAAGCTTGGTGGTATCTGGGGCCACTACTCTGTGGTGCTGGGAGTAGGGGTATCTTGTGGTGTCAGAGATTCTGACCCCTGAGTTGTCACATCTACCGCAACTTAGTTCTTAAGTGCAAGAGAAAGCCCATTGCTTCCTACTGGCCCTAAGAAATGGGTGAGATTAAAAGATCATTGAGCAGATAGAAAGATAGTGCAGGGGGCTGGAGCCATAGTACAGTAGGTAGGGCATTTGCCTTGCAAGTGGTTGACCCGGGTTCGATCCTTGGCATCCCATATGGTCCCCTGAGTACCACCAGGAGTAATTCCTGAGTGCAAAGCAAGGAATAACCCCTGAGCATCCCTAGATAGGATCCAAAAAGCCAAAAAAAAAAATGACAGATAATACAGTGAGTAGGGTGCTTGCCTTGCATGTGGCCAATCTGGATTTGATCCCTGGCACCCCAGGAGTGATCCCTGACCGCAGAGCCAGGAGCAAGCCCTGAGCACCACTGGGTATGGCTCCAAAACCAAATAAAAATATAAAGTCAATGAGTGCCAGTCTAGATCCTGGTGAGTGATCCACAGTCTAGATCCAGGGCTATGACTAGCCCTCTTCTTTGCAATGCAGGGTGGGTTAGCTGAAAAGCCCCCAAATGGCTAAAGGAAAAGTCAGGTGAATGCCAGAATATGCCCATCATGTTTTTTCCTTTGGGGATAGCAGGAGAGCCTGGATGTGATTTCACCTGGATCCACCCCCGCTGTGACCTGCCCATCACATCTCTGCTATCCAAGTAAGGTAGAAGATCAA